GAATGGGAGAAGGACAACTGCTCGGAGCTCCAGGCCTTGCTGGATAACACTCAACCTGTACAAGATCAGAAGGACAGGTGGGAGTGGAAGCATGGTAAAGACGGTGAGTATGCTGTCAAAACAGCATATAATCTGCTATCAAGCAACAGTGGACGTGATAAAGCATGGATTTATAAAAGGCTGTGGAGCAGCTTAATTCCAACAAAGGTCAGTGCATTCGCTTGGCAAGCCTTTCAAGACAGAATTCCCACCAGAATCAACTTAATTAGAAGGGGCATTATAACTGACCCTAACCAAGCATTTTGTGGATTGTGCGGGGAAAGCATAGAAGACAGCAATCACCTATTTATCCATTGCAGAATTTCTAGCTCGGTGTGGCACAAATGTTTGCAATGGTGGAGGATATCTTCAGTTATGCCTAATACCTGCCAAGAAATATTCGAGCAACACCAATCTTTCTTTAAAGAAACTGCAGTGAGAGCAGGGTGGGATGTTGTCTGGTTGGCATACATATGGTCTATATGGATGGCAAGGAATGGAAAGATTTTCAGGAACTCTGAGTGTGAAGTCAACAGAATATTTGAGTTTGTTCAACTCAGAGCCTTCAGCTGGATTAGAGGCAAAACATATGGGTATTCCTTTAATATGTTCGAATGGATGCTGGAGCCGGTATTGTGCTTAAGAGCCAAACGAAAGAATTAATCTGGCCTTTCAAGGGCGGAAAGTTCCGCAGGGTATTTCTCATGACTGAACCTGTCGGAACCTCAGCTTGCAGCTGATAGGTTCCGACAGGGTCAGGAAACTGAGCTGCTATTTTCTCCAGCTAATGTATTTTGTATACAGGGCAGGGGTACCCCTTGTACTCCATGGAATAAAATTCCTTTGCTGTGCAAAAAAAAAAAAAAATCTTTCATCAAGACCCAGCCACCCCTTGCATGGCAAGCGCAACCTAAAGCTTTGTAGTTTGGCTTGCTCTATGTACTGTCTCTCACTCTCAAAGGGCTTCATCATTGAATTTGTTTGTAATCCTGCGTCCCAAATTTGTATTCTTTTGGTTTGGTTTCTTTTGATAATTTTTTCCCTTTTACTTCTCCATTTATAATTATATTACGTGTTTCTCTTTTTCGTTTCATATTTAAAAGTAAGGAACACCTGTAATTTCTATCTATACAGCAAGAATCTCAGTCTAAATATCTCTTCCATATAGTAAGTATTATTATTAGAAAGTTAATTCATTGATTATTTGCTATGGCTTTATGCCAGCCCAATAATTTACCTTTGGTGTTCATGCTCTCTACCTTACTGAAGTGTGCACCATTCTAGAGAAGATTGCTTGCCTGATCAGGTCTCTGTTTATGTATAGCTACTGCGAGGTGTAGAATATGTAATTATAATTACATAAGCTTTTCTATTATAATTAATATTATAAATTCTTTTTATAGTTTGACAGATTTAAAATGGCAATACGCGGTGATTCAAGTACTACTGCGATTGTTCCTTTTCCTCTTACGAAAGGTAATTATGAAGATTGGAGAATTTACATGAAAAATTATCTATTGGCTCAAGATCTTTGGGACATTATTGAATCTGGGAACAATGTCGGTTTGCTTTCTTCTTCGAACAATGTGGGAAATTTGAGGAAAAAGAATGCAGCAGTTCTACATGCAATTCATACTACATCTTCACCAGATATTTTTGCTCAAATAAAAAAGGCCGAGTCGGCCAAAGATGCTTGGAATATATTAGCCAAAATGAATCAACAGGGGTTGGATGGAGGTAAGATTGATTCGAAGAGATTCTCAACTAAATTAACCACTTTTTGACTGAAGTATAATATGATTATAATATCTTAAATTTTGACAGAGAAAAAAGATGAAATAACTGAAATGATTCATTTTGAGGGGTCATCAGATAGAGGTAATATTGATTTGAGAGTCTTTTTTAGACTAATTTACTAAAGTACTTTCAATTTTGATTAATATTTTAATTATTCATAGGAGAAAAAGATGAGATGAGTGAAGATCCTCGTTCGGTAGAATTAAAAAAGAGCATTTGCAAAGGAGATTGGAATGCTGTTAAGCAGTATTTTGTTTTTGATAAGAATCCACTAGATACAATAATATTATCAGACAAAAGCTATACTGCTCTTCACGTTGCAATACTGGCCGGGCAATATAAGATTGCCGAGAAATTGGTAAAGATGATGTCGGCAACAGATCTGGAAATAAAGACCGCAGGTCATGGTCAAACGGCTCTTGGCCTTGTTGCACTTAAGGGAAGAACAAACGTGGCAAAATTGATAGTCCAAAAGAACAGCAAATTACTTACCACTGAAAGTAAAAAGGGCTCTATCCCAGTAACCAACGCATGTAATATGGGCCACAAAGAGATGACAGATTATCTTTATTCTGTCACCCCACCCGAAGTCTTGCTACCACAAAATGGAAATCATGGATTCGATCTCATTCACGAGGCTATAGCAAACAACATGTTAGGTAATCGTATAATCAAACTTTTTTAATTTATGTTGTGTCTTGTTTGTTAGGGATCCAAGATACATGAGAAGAGTTAGTGGCCCCGCTTACTTCCTTCATTAGCCACACTAGGCACTAGTAGCACGTATCCTAATCAGAAAAATTTTTAAATTAAATGTAACATTATATAAAAATAAATCTCTAAATTTAAATTTAAATAAAAGTT